CAGAGCCACTACCTACACGCAACGCATGTACTACGAAGTCGTCAGAGGGATCGACGACGCCATGCTCGCCAGCTGGACGAGTACGGGGACACCCAGGCCTGGCATCGATGTGTCCGTTCCTGTGTGCGACGAGGACGACGACCTGGGCCGCCACGAGACGAGGAGGAGCCGCGGGCGAATGGGCACGCCACTTCAAGCAGGGCCTCCTCGCAGAGCACGGAACGCGAAGTCACAGCTGAAGAAGGCGACGAAGACGAGCACGATGACGCATGCACACAACAGCCCCCCCCAGGGTCGACGCCGAGCCCGAGGCCAAGAAGACAGTGCAGGCGAAACAGGGCAACGTAACGAGGAATACCGGGAACGTCATGGTGGAACAGGAGCTACATCCGTTTGGATATTTACAGCGTCACGGAGAAACCGCCGCTGCCCGCCCATTGCCTTGGGTTGTTGATGTAGCGTCCCGTCTCCCCTCTCCACAGTTTTTCTATCTTTGCTATTCGGCCCCCGTTCCCTCCTGCCTTCTCTCTCCTCCTTGGTCGGAGGTGCCATCCTTGCCGTGTGGCCTTGGAGACCCCCATGTGACATGCACGGTATAGAAGGCTGTATGTTCTCAACAAGGGTGGGCCTTCCTCTCTCCTCGTGGGACAGCGTGGTCGCGATCCCGTTAACGGTTGATGTTTGGTGTTTGTCCACATGCACGTCGAGCTTGTGATTGTTTTCGCCGCTTCGCCAGCTGATGTGTGGCCGATCCGCTGAACTTTGAATGCTTGCGCCCTGTTCTGGGCCTGCTTCAATGGAGGCAGGCTTCGTCCTCTCTCCTCCACCCCCTCTCGATCATGCTCTTCCTCCTCCCATCAAGGATAGGTACCCGCTCAGCTTGGGATTTCGGGGGCAGATGGCGACCGCGGTCCGCTAAACCGCGCGCGGGCGGGCGGGTGCCGAACGGCGCCGACCAGTGGGACGCTTCGGATCGCGCATCATTTTGGCGACCAGGAGGAGAAGGAGGCGGAGGAGGAGGAGGAGGAGGTGCTGGCGGAGGAACGGGGAGTACGTGGAGAAGGAGGAGGGGAGGAGGAGGGTATTTTCCTCCTCTTCCCTCCTCCCTCGTATTCCTGGCTCTCCTCCTAGGCCCCCTGCAGGAAGGATCGGAGGAGATGGAGGAACAGAAGGGCGCTGAGGAGGACGACGAGACGGAGGACGTGGATTCGCTAAGGAGAGGGAGAACGGGGGAGACGACGACGACGACGACGACGACGACGACGACGACGACGACGACGACGACGACGACGACGACGACGGCGGCGGCGGCGGCGGCGGCGGCGACGGCGACGGCGACGGCGACGGCGACGGCGACGGCGACGGCGACGACGACGAACGCGGCTGGCCGCGGTCGGCAGGCGCGCCCGCGGCCGGCGCCGGCCGCGCCCGCGCCTGACGCTGGCGAGGGTGGCAGAGGTGCCACAGGCAGCAGGAGCCCGCGGCAGTTGCATAGACGGTGGTTGTCGCGGCAGCAGCGGCAACGCGGCGGATGGCGGGCAGCGCCACGACAGTGACGGTTGACTGTCGCGGCGGCGGCAGTGACCGTCGCGGCGGCTGCGGCAGTGAGAGTCAAGGCGGCGAACGCGGCGAACGGCGGGCGGCGGCGGCGGCGGCGATGTGTGCGATGCTCGTGGCGACGGACGCCGGCGTCAACGGAGACCGCGGCGGACTGCGGCGACGGAGCCGGCGGTGTTGACTGCGGTGGCGACGGCGAAGAGGAGGAGGAGGAGGAGGAGGAGGCGGAGAGGGTGCGCCGCCTGTTCCGTGAGCGCGGTAGTTTCCGTTGTGGACGGGGGGAGCCGCGCCCCTCGTGAGCGTGATACTCCCATTTAGTGGGAAGGGAAGCGTCCGCCCGCAAACCGAGGCGGACCCGTCGCGATCTGATGTTCAATGGCCGCCCAAATTGGGCCATGTTCAGGTGGCTTTGGAGGAGTACGGGGGGGCCCTGATGTTCTTCGTGTCTCTTTGCCGTTGAAAGGTTTCACCAAGCAACGCTTGCAGTTACGATTCCTTACTTGGCTGAACCATCTCGGGACCACGGGCGGCTTTTGCGGGCGGTGCTGCCCGTCGCCGTCCGTCGCCGCCGCTCGTCTCGGGACCAGGGGCGGCCGTCGCTGTCCGTGCCGCCCGTCTACGCCGTCGCCGTCGCCGCCGCTCGGGGCGAGTGGCGGCTTTAGCGGTCGGTGCCGCGCGTCGCCGCCGCCGCCGCCGTCCCCGTCGCCGCCGCCCGGGGCGAGTGGCGGCTTTATCGGGCGGTGCCGCCCGTCGCTGCCGTCGCCGTCGCAAAGATTTTCTTCTGGAAAATCGATTGTATCCCCCCCCCCGGGATAACAACTCCGCCTACGGGTATTGCAATTTACATATGATTGCGCCTGCGTGTTCATTTTCCATCGGAAACCATTTTATCCCAGCTAGTCCGGGTATTGGGTTCCCCCTGTTCACCCCTCTCAAGTAATGTCATGCAGTGCACATGCGTTGATCTAAATTGAGCTTCATGCAATAATTCCGATTCAATACTACCATGCGGGGCCACATATGCGCGCGCAAGATGAAACCCTTTTCATAACCTTTGTTTCGTTGCGACTTCAGCGCAAAAACACAAACATCTTTCAACATTTCATCCCGCGCGCTCTTGCGGATCCCTAGGAAACACAATCCTTTTTCAATTTTCTTGTTTAAGGAGGCCCTCGCGCGCGCGTGTCGAATGTATTACAACGCCCTCGCGCGCTTGCCAGGGGCATGACCCCGGTCAAATAACACCAGGCGGGTCACCGTCGTCGTCATCATTGCCGTCGGAAGCGTCGTGATCATTCTCATCGTTTGTCGACGCCGTCGTCCGCGGCGTCTCCCGCCAGATGGATTTTCCGTGCGCGACGAGCTTCCGCGCGCCAACGAACACGATGTAATTCTGTACGCTTCGCGTATCCCCACCAGCCCATCTCACAGCAGCAGCTCTCGCGAAGCATGTCGACAGTTGTGTTTTGCAGGCGTGTGTCCGCTGGGCTCCGTATATCTCCCCTGTCCCTCCTTCCTCCCGCCTCCTTGTGAATCCTCCTTGTGGGGGGAGCGGGAGAAGGACGAGGCGGAGGAGGAGGGAGAGAAAGCGCTCCTCGTGATTTGAGTCGTTTGGGGTTTCTCGTCCTGGTGTGAGTCGTTCGGGCCCTTCTTCCTGGTGTGAGTCGTTCGGGCTCTTCGTGGTGTGAGTCGTTCGGGCTCTTCGTCCTGGTGTGAGTCGTTCGGGCTTCTCGTGGTGTGAGTTGTTCGGGCCCCTCATCCTGGTGTGAGTCGTTCGGGCCCCTCCTCCTGGTGTGACTCGTTCGGGCTCCTCGTGGTGTGAGTCGTTCGGGGCCCGCGTCGTGGTGTGAGTCGTTCGGGCTCCTCGTGGTGTGAGTCGTTCGGGCGCCTCGTCCTGGTGTGAGTCGTTCGGGCCCCTCCTTGTGGTGTGAGTCGTTCGGGCTCTTCGTGGTGTGAGTCGTTCGGGCCCCTCGTCCTGGTGTGAGTCGTTCGGGCTCCTCGTGGGGCCTCTTGGGGGCCTCTTGGAGCCTCTTGGGGCCTCTTGGGGGCCTCTTGGGGGCCTCTTGGGGGCCTCTTGGGGGCCTCTTGGGGGCCTCGTGGGGCCCTTGGGGGTCTCTTGGGGGCCTCTTGGGGGCCTTTGGGGGCCTCTTGGGGGCCTCTTGGGGGCCTCTTGGAGGCCTCTTGGGGGCCTCCTGGGGGCATCTTGGGGCCATCTTGGGGCTTCTTGCGACCTCCTCAGAAGCGCAAATGAGCGCTGCCCCCTGAGAAAGACAAAATGAGCCCAAAACCTTCGTAAAATCAATGATTTTGCTATGAGGGAAGATAAGCGCGGCCCCAAGGCCAAAATGGGGCCAACACCGTAGTAAAATCAATGATTTTGGCTTCAAAGACGAGTTGAGGGACCAAACGGTCTCCCCCCTCGGGACCCGAATCCTCGTGAGGGTCGTCGTTTTTTGGCCCTCCCAGGAGTCGAAAAAGGCCCCCTTGCCACCACTCGGCCCGCCCTCTCCAGGTCCAGGGGAGGGGGTAGGGGGAGGGGTAAACCCCTCCCGAAGGGGAAGAAGGGTTGAGGACAGAGGGGGCTCTCTAAAGCACTCACGCCCAAAGGGCTGGTGGGATTGGCCACTTGTTGTTATGATGCATGTTTCACTCCTTGCCCCATTGGCCCCGCCCTCGTTGTAGCAGCGTTGTGGCGGCTATCGCTCGAGGACATGCAGGCACGCCAGAGATAATGCGAGTGTTCGCGTCTGTGTGCGTTGCAGATATGTGAGTCGTTCCAGCTCTTCGTGGTATGAGTCGTTGGGGCCCCCCGTCCTTCCTTGTGTAACTCCTTCGGGCCCCTCATTGTGTGTACGTCGTTCGGGCTCCTCGTGGTGTGAGTCCCCTCCTTTGTGTGTGAGTCGTTCGGTCCCCTCCTCCTGGTGTAACTCGTTCGGGCTCCTCGTGGTGTGAGTCGTTCGGGGCCCGCGTCGCGGCGTGAGTCGTTCGGGCTCCTCGTGGTGTGAGTCGTTCGGGCGCCTCGTCTTGGTGTGAGGCGTTCGGGCCCTTCCTTGTGGTGTGACTCGTTCGGGCTCCTCGTGGTGTGAGTCGTTGGGGTCTGTCGTCCTGGTGTGAGTCGTTCGGGCTCCTCGTTGGGCCTGTTGGGGGCCTCTTGGAGCTCTTGGGGCGTCTGGGGGGCCTCTTGGGGGCGTCTTGGGGGCCTCTTGGGGGCCTCTTGGAGCCTCTTGGGGCCTCTTGGGGGCCTCTTGGGAGCCCCGAGGGGACCTGGATTTTCCGTGCGCGACGAGCGTCCGCGCGCCAACGAACACGATGTAATTATCGGAGGAGCTCCACGCTGTAACTGTATTCGCGACCTTCTGAGTTCTGCCAACCACCTCATCGTCGTTTGTCTACGCTGTCGTCCGCGCTGTCTCCCGCAAGATGGACTTTGCACGCGCCACGAGGACCCGCGTGCCAATGAACTCGATGAAATTTGCGGACGAGCTCCACGCTGCAATTGCAATCGCGACCTGTTTTAGGAGTTCTGCCGACAAAGATGCGGGTGGGAGGCCGAAGTCTTCCAAAAACCTTCGGTGTCGGAGGGGTTCCGCTATCGAGTTTCCAACAAACATACAACAACACAGGGTTTCGCAACACTGATTTGCTAAAAAAGCTTACGCGCGAGCTCTTACGAAATCTGAAAACCATAGGTGTTTCAAGATTTTCACAAAATGTTGCCAAACGGGTTTCGCGCGCGCGCAAGTGGAAATCTGCGAACGCCTTTGCGCGTGTGCCGTCGCGAGAATCCCTTGCAACAGATAGGACGAACAGCAGACGCGCGCGTCGTCGCGCGCGTATGCCAAAATCCTTCAAAACCCATGGGCTTCGGACGGGTTCCAACATCGTGTGTCCAAAAAACATATAAACACACAAGGTTTCGCAACACGGATTTTCAACAAACGCGTGCGCGCGCGTTCTTGCGTCGTCGTCGTCGCCGTCTTCCTTCCTCCCGCGTCGTCGTCGTCTACGTCGTCCTTTGTCTTTCCTCGTGTTCGTCGTCGTCGTCCTCTTTGGCGTCGTGGCGTCGTGGTCGTTTCCGTCGTCGTTGTCGCTGTGGTCGTCCTTCCTCCTCCTCCCTCGTCGTCGTCGTCCGTCGTCGGCGTCTCGTCGTCGTCCCTCCTATTTCGTCGTCGTCGTCGTCGCCGTCGTCGTCGTTGTCGTCGTCGTCGTCGTTTTCCCTCCTCCCTCGTCGTTGTCGTCGTCGGCGTCGCCGTCCTTCCTCCTTCTTCTTCCTTCGCGTCGTCGCCGTCCTCCCTCCTCCCTCGTCGTTGTCGGTGCTGTCGCCGTCGTCGTCCGCCCTCCTCCCTCGTCATCGTATTCGTTGGCGACGTCGTCGTCGTCTTCGTCGTCGGCGTTGGCGTCGTCGACGTTTTAGTCGTCTCTGCCGTCGTCGTCGTCGTCGGCGTCGGCGTCGTTGACGTCGTCGACGTCGTCGTCGTCGGTGTCGTCCTTGTCTTCGGCACTGTCATCGTCGTCGTCATTGTCATCGTCGGCGTAGGCGTCGGCGTCGTCGTCGTCGGTGTCGTCGTCGTCGTCGTCGTTGTCGGCGTTGTCGAAGTCGTTGGAGACGACGTCGGTGTCGGTGTCGTCGTTGTCGGCGGCGTCGTCGTCGTCGTTGTCGCTGTCGTCGTCGGCGCCGCTGTCGCTGCCAAGTGCCATTTGGTACCCGCCGTCGCGGTCTTAAGAGACTTTGCGAACCAAGTTGCGGGTGGGTGGGTGGGATGTTTGCGCGGGCAGTGGAGTGGACAGCTTCAAGACAGTCAAAGTGGACTGCATCACATAGATTCTCTTTTCTAAAAAGAAAACAGAATCTACCCCCCCTCCCGGCGTTATCCTCCCCTTTCGGGTACGTAAATCATGTATGAATTTGACAACATGTTCATCCGAAATCTGAATTTGCATTATCCCAGGGGGGCTGGTATCGCCCCCCCTGAGGTTCCCTTGTATAAAAAAAACGATACGCGGGGGCGTCTTTTGTTCTAACCTGCAACTTGTTCACGAGCCCCTTGCAACAAATAATACGAAGTGCGCGCGCGCGCGTCGTCGCGCGCGCATGCCGAAATCCTTGAAAACTTTCGGTGTCGGAAGGATTTTGCAATCAAGTTCCCAACAAACATACAAAAACACATGGTTTTGCAACACTGATTTGCTAAAAATCTCAGGCGCGAGCTCTTGCGAAATCTGAAAACACAGGTTTTCCAATAGTTGCACAAACTGCTACCAAACTAGCTTCGCGCGCGCATGTCGAAATCTGTCGAACGCCCTTGCGCGTGTGCCGTCGCGAGAATCCTCTGCAACAGATGTGACGGAGTGCAGACGCGCGCGTCGTCGCGCGCGTATGCCGAAATCCTTCAAAACCTACCGGCTTCGGAAGGATTTCAAAATCGTGTGTCCAAGAAATATACAAAAACACAAGGTTTCGCAACACGGATTTTCAACAAAAGCGTGCGCGCGCGCTCTTGCGTCGTCGTCGTCGCCGTCCTCCCTCCTCCCGCGTCGTCGTCGTCGTCGTCGCCTACGTCGTCCTGTGTCTTTCCTCGTGTTCGTCGTCGTCGTCGTCCTCTTTGGCGTCGTGGTCGTTTCCGTCGTCGTTGTCGCCGTGGTCGTCCTTCCTCCTCGTCCCTCGTCGGCGTCGTCGTCGTCTTTGTCATCGTCGTCATCGTCGGCGTCGTCGTCGTCGGTGTCGTCGTCGTCGTCGGTCGCTGTCGTCGTCGAAGTCGTTTGAGTCGTCGTCGGTGTCGGCGGCGCCGTCGTCGTCGTTGTCGCTGTCGCTGCCGGCGTCGGTGTCGTCGCCAAGTGCCATGTGGTACCCACCGTCACGGTCTTTGTCTTAACAGGTCTTGCGACCAAGTTGAGGGTGGGAGGGTGGGATGTTTGCACGAGCAGTGGAGAGGACAGCTTCAAGATTGTCAAAGTGGATTGCGCCACGTAGATTCTCCTTTCTAGAAAGAGAATAAACTCTACCCCCCCGGGCGTTATCCCTCCCCCTTTCGGGTATGTGAATCATATATGATTCTGGCCAAATGTCCATCCTAAGTATGAATTTGTACTATTCCCATGGGGCCGGTATCGCTACCCCTGAGGTTCCTTGTTAAAAACGATACGCGGGGACAGTCGTTGTTCTTACGTAGCACTTTTTCGCGAATCCCTTGCAAAAAATGTGACGAAGTGCGCACGCGCGCGTCGTCGCGCGCGCGTGCCGAAATCCTCAAAATAACCTTCGGTGTCGGAAGGCTTTCGCGATCGGGTTCCCAAAAAACATGCAAAAACACAGGGCCTCGCAGCATTAATTTGCTTAAAAACTCACGCGCGAGCTCTTGCGAAATCTGAAAACATATGTTTTTTTTTCACGATTTCACAAAATGCTACCAAACAGGCTTCGCGCGCGCATGTCGACATCTGTCGAACGCCCTTGCGCATGTGCCGCCGCGAGAGTCCTCTGCAACAAATGGGGCGAAGTTCAGACGCGCGCGTCGTCGCGAGCGTATGCCGAAATCCTTCAAAACCTACCGGCTTCGGAAGGATTTCAAAATCGTGTGTCCAAAAAGCATACAAAAACACAAGGTTTCGCAACACGGATTTTCAACAAAAGCGCTCGCGCGCGCTCTTGCGTCGTCGTCGTCGCCGTCCTCCCTCCTCCCGCGTCGTCGTCGTCGTCGTCGTCGCCTACGTCGTCCTGTGTCTTTCCTCGTGTTCGTCGTCGTCGTCCTTTTTGGCGTCGTGGTCGTTTCCGTCGTCGTTGTCGCCGTGGTCGTCCTTCCTCCTCCTCCCTCGTCGTCGTCGTCCGTCGTCGGCGTCTCGTCGTCGTCCCTCCTATTTCGTCGCCGTCGTCGTCGTCGTCGTCGTCGTCGTCGTTGTCGTCGTCGTCTTCCCCTCTCCCTGGTCGTTGTCGTCGTCGGCGTGGCCGTCCTTCCTCCTTCTTCGTCGTTCGCGTCGTCGCCGTCCTCCCTCCTCCCTCGTCGTTGTCGTCGCCCTCGTCGTCCTCCCTCCTCCCTCGTCATCGTCTTCGTTGGCGACGTCGTCGTCGTCGTCGTCGTCGTTTTAGTCGTCTCTGCCGTCGTCTTCGTCGTCGTCGACGTCGGCGTCGTCGTCGTCGCCGCCGCCGTCGTCGTCGTTGTAGTCGTCGTCGTCGTCGTCGTCGTCGTCGTCGTCGTCGTCGTTGACGTCGTCGTCGTCGTCGTCGTCGGTGTCGTCGACGCCGTCGTCGTCGGCGTCGTCATCGTCGTCGTCGTTGTTCGTCGGCGTCGTCGTCGTCGGCGTCGTCGTCGTCGTCGGTGTCGTCGTCGTCGTTGTCGTCGTTGTCGTTGTCGTTGTCGGCGTCGTCGAAGTCGTTGGAGACGTCGTCGGTGTCGTCGTAGTCGTTGTCGGCGGCGTCGTCGTCGTCGTCGCTGTCGTTGTCGGCGTCGCTGTCGTTGCCAAGTGCCATTTGGTACCCACCGTCACGGTCTTAAGACATTTTGCAAACCAAGTTGTGGGTGGGTGAGTGGGATGTTTGCGCGAGCAGTGGAGTGGTCAATTCATTGCGAACAGAAGCTAATTGCACCACATAGGCTGCAATAACCTTTTGTTTGGGGTCCACGCTTGCTAAGCACGTTATGAGTATCTCTTTCGGGCCTTGGGCCTGATAACCTCTTCGTCGCGGAGGCTCGCCGTTGCCAGAAATGCGCATTCGTTCCTTTTCCCTGCGTCCCTCACGGTCGCACGGGAACTGTTGCATACCCGCCCCCCCTCGCCTCACCCCTGAGACTCAGACTTGCTCAGAACGGCCCTCCCGCCAGTGTACCCCCCTGGTCTGTCTTCCTCGGCCTCGTCCTCATCACAATCCCCCCCCGTCTGGCTGCGCAAGCCCAGGTTTCGCGCGCGTGCTCGCCCAGTGCGGGCTGTTTCCCGCGTGGTTTTGGGCGTGCTCGGTGCACTTCAGTGGCACCATCGTTCGTCGCAGGGGAGTGCGATCGCTCTGCGAGAGGACATCATCGTACACTTCACCTGTCCCACCCCCAGCCGCCGCGGGGGAGGTGCGCGCCCCCGCGCTCACGCCGCCGCCCTGGGCCCCGGCCTTCGCGGCGCGCCCCCCCCCCCGCTTCGGAGCCCGAGCTCAGGAGCCCCTTGCCGCTGGCGCCGCGGCGCCCCCTCGCGGTCCCGAGGCTCGACCTCGAGGCGCTCAGCGGCAAAGAAGGCCCCTCCTTGCACCCCTCGGCGGCGAACGTGGGGTGGGGGGGGGGGGGAGAAAGCGCGGAAGGCTCGGAAGGCCGCGGGCTTCTGAGAAGAATGTTAAGCCTTCCCCGAAGCCACAGAGAACGCCTGCTCCTGGATAACTTTCTGGACACACGCGTCTATAGACACAGTGGGATGTCTTTCTACATATCTGTATAGGTTTGCACATCGAGTGAGGGAGAGAGAGAGAGAGAGGCAGTTGGCCGTTGCGTTCGGCGCAGTACAATGTTGGAGAAAGGGTAGGTCCGTCTACGGTATGTTCCTTCTTGAAGCAGGTCCCACATGGTATTCCAACGAAGGCTCGAGGCTCGAGGAGGAGCTGCTGTTCGCCCTCCTCCAACAGCGGGACGCCAAGTCTATGGTGGGCATTGTCCAGGGCCATCTGGGAGCCTCCAAAGCCCTGTGGACCTCCAGGAACAGCAGGAACTTCTGGTTTCAGAGGCCGGCCCCCAGCCCTCTTGAAGGGGCAGCCGAAGCGGTGCCAAGGCTGGACCAGAGGCCACAAACGGCCCTCCATCTCCTCTTCGAGGCTCGAGGAAGAAGTTGTCGTTCCAGATGCTTCGCTTTCGCCGCCCGCGCACTCCAGTTCACGCCAGAAGAAGCGAAGACGGCTTTGAGACGGGATAGACAGATTCAGAAAGAAAACGGTGAATGCCCTCCCGCAGGTTTGTGTGTGTGTGTGTGCGTGTTGTGTGGTTACTCTTGCGTTCCATGTTTGTCCCATCCCGTCGTCGAGTAGACTCAGGCATGCCGCGTGGCTGGTCGATGACCATCGTCATTACCGAGAGCGTTTTTATGCTCCCTGGCGATAACAAGCGTGATGCACGGGGGGAAGGGGGGGAGGAGGCCGATCCCGTCACGATTCGTGCCAGCGACGTATGGGAATGCTTATGAATTGCTGATCGTGACGTGACCGAGGGGGGGGCGGGGCTGGTCACAGGCGTGATCGCAAAAAATCATTGCCCACGGACGTACATATTTTTTTTAGACATGTGGCGAATATACCCACGACTGTTCACTATAACAGGATGTGTTGGCGGACCCGCAGTGCGCAGGAGCACCCGGAAGTGCAACCAGAAGAGCGTGTCAACGGGAGTAACGACCAAAGGGCGCTGGAGGCCAGACGCCCAAAGCGGAGACAACAGGGCGCGGCTGCCCACGCACGGAGAAATACCAAGCACCCATAAGTGATCACAAAAGGGCTAAGCAACGCGAGGAACCAGAAGCACCCAAAGGTTGACACAAAAGGCGCCGAAGAAAAAACACCCAAACATTGAACCCAAAGGGCGGCAGCGAGAGCAACGAAAAACCCCAGCAGGTGGAGACAGAGTGGCGCGGCAACGAGAGCAAACAGAAGCAACGTGAAGTGATGACAAAAGGGCACGGCAGCGAGAGCACAGGGAAACTCCCAAAAGTGGCACGAAAGGGCGCGTCGGCAAAAGTAAGAAGAACCATACAAACACGGGCGCGAAAGGACGCGGTATAAACAGCGCCCGAAAGAGGAAGCAAAAGGGCGCGGCAGCAAGAGCGATAAGAAACACCCACAAGTGGAAACAAAAGAGCGTGGTACGAGAACGCTCGGAAGTGGAAGCAAAAGGGCGCGACAGGGAAAACCACGAGAAGCACCCAACAGTGGAAACAAAATGTCGCGGCTGCCAGAATACCAAGCGCACCAACGAGTGCAAGCACAAGGGCGCGGCAGAGAGAGTAAACAGAAACACCCAAGGAAGGACGCAAGGGGAGACGGTCCGTAGCCATTTTGGCTCAAGTTCGAAACGTTGCCCTGGCGCTTCGAACTTGGACGCAGCCAAGGGGTTGGCCCGAGCGTCCCGAGGATAGTCCTCACCTTTTCCTTCTGATTCCAAGGATCATTCCACGGATTACTCCTGTTTCTCCCTCGGCCGCGATGTCGAGCTCAGAGGTCCTGGCCGCACTTGGTTCGATGAAGAGTGAGTTGCTCACGGCGGTAGGAGCGGCTAACGCCAGGACCGACGCCTTGGAGCTTCAGATCCAGGGACTTCAAGCGCAGCAAGTCTCGTCGGTGCAGGAGATGCAAACGATGGTGACCTCCATGTCGGCCAGCTGGGAGGCGCGCTTCCAGCAGATCACGGGCTCGGCGATTGTGGTTGATGACGGCAATGGCTGGCATGACTGCCCTGAGGGTTCGGCAGGACACCAGGCGCTTGCTGAAGTTGAGAAAAAGATGGAAGCAAAGTTTGAGAACATTCAAGAGCAGTTATCAATCATTTCCGAGATTTCACGCACACCATCGACGGCTGCGGGTTCGGACAGCGGGGGCACCTCTAGACGTAAGCGCCCTGCGACAGGACCCATGCCTGAGATGTTCGCCGACGCGCTTCAGAACAATGAGAAGGACACGCGTAACCCTTGCAGGATTTGGATTGGTGGATGGCCACGCGAGGTGCTTTCGCAATATCGGAAGGAGCACTGGGAGTGGTACAAGACTCAGGTGCCCCAGGACATGATTACTAGTACCCAGCCATCGTTCCAGCGAACGAGCCGTTCGTACTCGGTGGTGTTTGAGACGGAGGAGGCTGCGAATCGGTTCAAGCAGTGGGCCTTCACGACACCATCGCAATGGAATGGCTATCGTGATCGAGCAAAGACGTTCCCCATTCGTGTTCGAGGCGACATTCCCCTTCCTGCTCGGCTGAGGAAGAGTACACTGTCGTGCTTGTGGGAACCGATGAGGGTGAAGCTGACGTCCAGGGGCCTCTGGAACGGCTCGCTGAGGATGGGCTGCTCTGGCTATGGCTCTGGTCGTTTTCAGATTTCGACGGATGCGGACTCGTGGAACCCTGTTCACGTTAAAGACAGAGGAGGGCCAGTTCGTCATCGTCCCCAACCGTGAAGAGTTATATCAGTGGAAGTTCACCGATGCTGAGATTGATTTCGTCATCGACATTGCTGTTAAGAACAAACCGTACCTGTAGGATGGGGTATGGCGGACACCCACGACCAGGACAGATCAGGTTCCGCCTCTGCTGAACATGCGGAGCGACATCAGTGGGGATGCACGCGATTCAGCTGAGTGTTATGAGCCTGCCATGCCTGTCGCCTTTTCGAACCTTGTGTCTGCAGCCTCTGTTTGTATAATGCAGCCAGCGCCGTGCGAGTCGTCGGCTCATGATTTTAACTTTCCGTTCTGTCCTCCCTCCCCTTTCTCCATCTGTTCTTGGAACGCTGGTGGTATGATCATGTCTATGCAGTCGTTGCGTCAAGATCGTGCCCAGAAGAAGATGTCCATGTTCGAACGTCTTTGTCACTCCCACGATATTGTTGTTACCCAAGAGACCCATGGCCACCCAGGCGATATTGATCATCTCTCTCCTCAACTTCCCTCTCACCAATTTGGCTACTCGTTCTTCCCTGACAGTGCAGGCACTGGTGGCGTGATTACGGCTATCAGTAAAGTGTTCGCGCGTAATTTTTCCTCGATTGTCCATCGGTCGCTGATCGACGGCAGAGTGCTTCTGACTGAGATGAAGGGCCCTCGCGGCCAGTGTAACATTGTCAACGTTCACATGCCCAACGCGTCGGATAGTTTTCGGGTATATATATATATATATATGTGCTTCGCGTTCTCCGCCGTGAGGTTCCGCTTTCAGCTGAGCACTTTACTATTCTACTGGGGGATTGGAATTTTACTCTGGAAGGTGAGGGCCGCCAAAATGCTCATGGTGGTTTGTGGAGCCCAGGGGGCCGTAGTCATGCACAGGCGCTCAACAACAACCTCCCTGACCTCATTGAATTTTACCAGGAAGTGGACACACGGAGGGCTCTGGTTGATAGCGTGATTGACCACACGGCGCGGCTAGACCGCATCTACTGCTCGCTGCCCAGTGCCATTCTTGCAGATATGACGATCACGACGTCAACGGTAGGCCGTCTTAAAATCGACATGCCCTCGGATCACATCCCCGTCGTTTCGCATATCTCGATGTACACCCCTGACAAGTCTGAGTGCAAGAATATCCCGCTGTGGCTTGCGAAGTCGCCCGAGTTTGCTGATGAGCTGGGTAGGCTCTTGAGTACTCCTCCTGCTGATGATGGGAGCGCTGTGCGTCTTGCTTGGACCAAAGAATGTATGCACTCGGCCGCAGCGCGTGCTCGACGACGCATAAAGCATCGAGTTGCCTGCACCTATGAGGAGTGTCATCATTGGTCCATGGCTGCTCTTCGTGGCCTCCGTCTCCAGAATATTAAGATGATTGATAATGCATTGGCTTGTTATCCCAAGCTTACTGATTTTATTGATGACACTACTCTTGAATGTGCTGACCTTTTCCCCCTCTGCCAACATGTGCGTGAGCTGTGCATGAAGTTGCTAGATGCTGAAACCTTAGAGATTGAGAACTTGCCCTCGGATGACTTTCAGAGGCAGAAGGAGGAGAGGAATATCGCTCGTCGTCGTACGTTCTGGCAGCAGCTTCGTCGTCGAACTTGGCTCCAAGGAGTGGTTGACGAAAATAACAACCCTTACCCCTCCCCAGAGGCCTCTGCTGAGGCCCTGCGGCATCACTGGGGTGAGGTCTTCTGCGAGCAGCAGGAAGACCGCTCACGGTGGCCCGAGTTACTGTCTTTTGTCCGACAGGTGCCTGTAGGAGCGAATGTGTCTTGGGAAGTGGACTATGAGGTGTTCTTCGGGGACATTATTAAGACTCGTAAGCACAGTATGCCTGGGCCTGATGGGATTCCTTACTTCTGCTGGCGCCTTGGAGATGCCTCTCGTTTTCTGTTTGACTTCTATCGGGACTTGGTTTCTGGTCAGGTCTCTGCTCTGCCTCGGGACATGTTGGAAGTTCTGATGGTTTTTCTGCCGAAGGGGGACTCGAAAGACGATGTGGGGCCTAAAGTTTTCAGGACTGCTGAAAACACACGTCCACTTTCCATGGCCAATACTGATGCCAAGATACTGAGTTCGTGCATGTGCAGACCGCT